GAGCCGGGCCGCAGACAATGGACGCAGCAGCGGGAGGGGCGGCGACCGCGGGAACAGCCGGGAGGCGGCACCTGGGATCTCGCTCCCCGCCCCCTGCCTTCCCCCGGTCCCCTCCCCTTCTGTCCCCTCCCCCTCCGCCGCCGGCTCGAGATCTGATTCCTGATCCCCGATCGCTTGGTCCTGGGTCCCGCCATGGGAGCCTGAGAGCGCCCTGCAGTTCCCCCCCGGCCCCCTGCCCCCGGGGCCTCGAGGGGGAAAGAGGCGAGTGGTCTGGGACGGAGCCGGGGTGAGCGCCCTCAGGAGTCCCCCCTCGCCGAACCCCATCGCCCGCGCTGCCGGTCCTGGAGCGGGGAGTTCGGAACGACCCGGTGCGCTGCGGATACAAAGGCGCGGAGCTGAGCGGGGCGTGCGCCCAGTCCACCCGGCTGTTCGCAGCGGCGGGTGAGTGGCGGGCCGCGGGGGCGCGGGCAAAGTTTGCAAAAAAAAAAAAAAAAAAAGGGAAAGAAAGAAAGCAGAGAGGGGAAAAAAAAAAAAAGAAATCATGCAAAGGACCAGGGAGCGTCCGGCCATGGAGAAAGCGGGGTGGCTTCTGGGGGAAGGGGGGCTCCAGGCACCCCCCTTCCGGTCTGCTCTCCACTGCACAGCGGAGTGCCCCAACTTTGGGGAGGGGAAGGGGCGCATGGGGAAGGGGCGGAGCCCAGGCCTTAAGAGCCGGGGACTTTCCTGGGCCAGGGGGCCCGGGCCCGCCGCCTGAACGATCCCAAGGGAACCCATTGAAGCCGGGGATTGGGGAGCGTGTGTTGGAGGTGGTGGGAGAGGCCGTGGAAGGATCGGAGGCTGGAGGTATTGGCAGCTGAAGGTATGTTGGGATGCATACACACCTTTGGAGTGTGGGGAGGGAAGGGGCAGGAATATGTTCAGGGTGTAGAGGGGATCCCCGAGAGATGGTTCTGGGCAGCAGTGTGTGTGTGTGTGTGTGTGTGTGTGCGTGCGTGCAGCCCAGAGATGGGACTTGCGGCGATACCCGGGAATGTGTGTCGGGGTGGGTGGGGGCCACCGACGACATTATCTCTTTCCCTCGTCCTATTTATTCATCCAAGGTCCTGGTCCCTGCATTAGTGAGTTTTAAAGGGTTCGTTGTGTGTGGGGGATTGGTATGCGTGATTCTTTGTTTTTGTGTGTGCACACGCTTTGACATGATGTGTGTTCCTGCAGGTGGGCCCTGGGTTTGGATGTGTAGGTGTGTATGTGTGTGTGTGAGAGAGAGAGAGAGAGAGAGAGAGAGAGAGAGAGAGAGAGAGAGCTGACCAGCTAGCCAAACACATACATCTGCTGTGTGTTTGGGTATGTATTTGTGTGTATACTCAAGGGAAGGGGTGTGTGTCTGTGTGTATACTCAAGGGAAGGGGTGTGTGTCTGTGTGTGTATGTGCTTAGAGAGGGGCTTATGGGAAAAGGTGGGTAGGTATTGGAGAAGGTGGGTTTATAAGAGCAGAATGGGTGGTAGGCATATGTGGAAATACGTGTGTGTGCACCTGTGTGGTGGGAAGGGGTGTGTGTGTGTGTGTGTGTGTGTGTATCTGTGCTCTTGTGAGTAACCGGTACTGATGGGTAGGTGTGGATGTGTGTGCTGGCCTTTGCTAGGGTGTGTATTTTTGAGTGTGTATTGGGGGTACCTCTTGTCTCTGCAGGCAGATTTTCCTGGCAGAACGCCCACAGGGACGGCTGACTGCAGGCTCTGAATGGCCCCGCTTAGTTAGATTCAAGGGTGATGTCTTGAGCATCCGAGATCCCAATGGGGACTGTGCATTTGGGGGCTAGTGAGTTGTCTTAAGAGGCGCTTATCTGGGGAGATGGACTTTTCTGGAAGATGCTGTGCATTGTGGGGAATGGGGAATAGGTTCAGGGGAGGTGGAGGGGCACTGTATTCCTAAAGGAGATTTTGGGGTTCAGGGAGTCAAGGACACAAATAAGAGCAGTGACCTTTCTCACTGTCATAGGCTGGGCTTCAGTGTTCTTCAAGGCCATATGCCTGTCTTCTCTGCCCCAGTTTCTCTCTGAGGCCATGGCTCTCAGGCACTGACATCTTGACGGTGGCTACTTCAGAGCCCGCCAACTCTGCCCTGCCTCTAGGACACTGAGGAGTGTGGGCTGGAGGTGAGGAGAAGCCTGCACCAAGGCGTGAGACCTGAAAGGGAGTTGTAGGATTGAGAAAGTGGCATGGGGTGCTTCTCTGGGAGTTTTTCCAAGTGTGTCCAAGTAGTTGACCCTGCCCTTTCTTGATGACAGGCACTCTTTAGGTAGAGTGTGTGAATGTGTGTGTACATGTATGGGGGCGTGAGTGCCTGTATGTGCGTGTGTGTACGCGATCGAGTGTGAGTCTGTGTGCGTGTTTCTGTGTTTACGTTTGTCTGTTTGTGAGTTCCTGTGTGTGTGCTTGTGTTCAAGTGTGTGTGAGCGTGTTTCTGTGGGTTCATGTGTGTTTCTCTGTGTGTTTGTTGGAGCTGAGCTTGGGAGAGGCCTGATGTCCACATGGTGGGAAAAGAGTGTATTCGTCATCATGAGAGTGGGTGGGAAGTTAAGACTGAGGAACAGCTCCCTTTGCTCTTGTTCATTCTCTTTTGGGGTGAAGGGAAGAAAGGGGTGGTCTTCTTCTCTGGAACCCAATCCCTGTTCCCACATTCGTGTTGTTTTCAACCAGTTTCCTCCTGCTGCCAGAGGTTAGTTAGGCGGAGACACTGGTTCTAAGACAGAGGCTGGAGTTGCACATGCCCATTAGGGTCCTGGGTAATTGCAACTGGAATGTTGGTCTTTAATGGGCATGTGCAGTTGGAATGTTCCATCTTTAGCCCTCAGAGCTCCCTACCCTTCATAAAGCCCGAGGAGAAGAGGGGAGGGGTTTAAAAAATGTTGGAGTAGGAAGAGGAACAGGGTAGGAGAGGACTAGATTTCTTGCCCCCACCACCGCCAGTGTTTCATTCCTTCAAACCAGACACCTATCAGATGGTTTTTCCCAGGGCCTGCAAGGCGCCTCTAAGACAGGTGCCCTGGTTTTTTGGCATACCTCATTTGCTCAGTGTGTGCTCCCTGCCAGTAGGAGTTGTCCTCTAAGCTGGAGGAATTGTGGTCCGACAATAGGAAGTGCCATTTCAAAGAGTACTTCCAGGCTGGGAACCAGTGGCCACATCGGGCCCCTCCTCCTCCATTGTCTTGGTCCTGCTTTCTACTTTCTCTAATTCCCCTTGCAGGGTTTCCTTCTTTGGTGTCTCTTCCTCTGCTCTCTCACCTTCTTGTAGGTCTTGAGGAGGAAGAGCTTCCTTCTCTCTGGCCCTTCATTCCCTCTGAGTCTTAGGGACTCCAGTTTTCTCCTTTGCTGGCTCCTACGCCATGAGGCCAAAAGGAAGAGCCAGACAGTTTCCCTTAGTGCTAAGAGAAGTGTGGCCTGATGCATGTAATTAAGCCTCATTCCTGGGTGTTTTAAGACACCATCCTCCGAGCCCACACTGAACCCACCCACAAGGAACCCCAAGTCCCCCACCCTGCACTGTGACAGCTCTCCTTTGTTGACAGTTTGCTCTGAATGCCACATCCTAACTGTGTGGCCTCAGACAGAACGGCTAACTTTTGAAAGCCTCACCTGTTACACTGGCGATCGGCCCCACCTCTTAGGTTTACGAGGACCACATGAAATAATCTGGGAAGAGTGTGTTCCTCAGTGCCTGGTGCAGGGGAAAAGACTCACTAATCCTGGCTGTTGTGGCCACGGATGTATTAAGGATGAGGGCTGGGCCGTAGGGCAAGGGAGTGGAAGGAGGCTTTACTGTGCTTTTCTCTCGCAGGCCACAGTCCACTTTCTGCCAGGTGCTGTGTGAAACACGGGGGATGGAGGGGGGGGAAGATGACACCGTTGGCAGGGTAAACGTGCTTGGACACGTCGATCCCCTTAACCCTCCTCGTGCCGTATGGAGGTGTATTCTGCAGGCCCTTGCGGCATAGAGTTTGGTTCAGAGGTGGAGTCTTGGGCAAGGTGCCTGAAGGAGATGTGTTGGACACTGGGTTTTTAGAAGTTGCCACGGAATGAACTTCCTTGAAGAGAATGGAGTTCGGCACACAGGCAGTACTGTTCGGCCATGTGTGTCTGGTTGTGGAGCGTTTGCGCTAGCCCTTCGAGGACCGCAGACACATTGGACTGTTGTTGCCAGGGCGCTGCTGTTTAGTCCCACCTTCCCCCACGCCACGCACACACCTGCTTTCTGTTCTGTGTGAAGTTACCTGTTCTGGCTCTCCCCTCTAAATGTCATCATTTTATGTCTGGCTTCCTCTCAGATTGTTTGCTAGGCTCATTCATCACCCCTTTCTATGGCTCAGTAATATTCTACTGCATGTGTATTCCTTAGCCGAGCCCACTCATTTATTTACTTATTTTGGGACAAGGTCTTGCTTCTTATCTTTGGCTGGCCTGGAGCTCACTGTATAGACTGGGCTGGCCTGGAGCTCGTAGAGATCTGCCTGTCTCTCTGGCTCCTGAGTGCAGGAATTCAAGTCCTGCTCCAGCACACCTGGCCCTTCTTAACCATTTGTTTTAGAGGCCAGGAAGACAAGGGAGAGAACTGACGGGCTTGTTGGTTGAGGCTGAGCATGAGCAAGAAGGTGAGTGGGAAGTTTGCTACTCCTGGGATGCTGAAGTATGAAGCAGAGATTTGGCCTCAGTTTCCCTAGCTATAAAAACAAAATTAACGATCCCTTTCCTTTCCTGTGCTGTGGTGTTTGTTGGTGGAGGTGGAGGCATCAGGGAGAGGAGAGGCTGGGATCCTCCTCTGTCAGTATGTATGTATGTATGTATGTATGTATGTATGTATGTATGTATGTATGTATGTATGTATTTATTTTTAAACCTTCCCTTTCCTCCTCTTGGAAGGTCCCACCTGTGCGCTGTGTGTGTTTGTACTCTTATCCCCATGTGATTCATCTTCCTGCTTTGCCTCCAATCAGCTTCTTCTCCCTCCCAGTTGACCTGAGACCTGAGACCTCTCACTCTCTACAGGTGGGTGATCCTCTGCTCCATGTGATGTTCATGGCCTCCCTCTCCTGTTTGTCCTTCGACAGCCCTTTTGTCAGCTTCTCTGCTGTGATCTGGATAGAACTGCAGTGTGCCATGCAGAATCTTTGCATCCCTCTCCCCCCCCTTGGTACAGAGTGGGAGGCAGAGGCCTCTCTGGTGGGGCCCGTTGGAAATGAGCTGTTGCGGTGCCAGTCTTATGCCCCTGGCAAGGTTGGTAATTACAGACAAGACAGCTGGGAATGGGTTTGGGAAAAAGCGAGCTTGGAATCAGCAGAACTAGGGCTATCCTGGTAATCAGGGTGGGGCCCTGCGAGGGGAGACTGGGCAGTGTCTGGGGGCTGGGTTGGGGCAGGAAGCTTGGGGCCTCCTTCCCCTGCCCATCAGTGAATAGCTAGGATAAGAGCCTGGAAAAGAGTGGGAAGCCATTGCATCCTAGGCCTGACCTCACTGAGGAAGAGGGAGGAGACAAGAGAAGATGGGGGACCTAAGAGCTCCTGAAAAAAATGTATCAGTGTGGGGTTAATCCCTGACCCATAATCATGGGGTGAGCCACCTCTGCTGCCAAAGATGAGCCCTCCTTATTCTGGGTGGAATCTACTTTTTATAATGAGGCTCTAGGAAAAGAAGTGGAAGGACTGACTGTGCAGGCCCTAAAAGAGCTGGGAAACCAACATTTACTGAGCATCAGTTTTTAATCTGTCCTTCTGTTTATCCATCCATCCATCCACGTATGTATGTGTCTATCCATCCATCCATGTATCTATGTGTCTATGTATGTATGTATGTATGTATGTATGTATGTATGTATGTATGTATGTATGTATCTGTCTATCTATTTACCCACCCATCTATCCATCTACCTACCTACCTTTTTTTTTTTTTTTTTTAGGCAGGGTCTCACTGTGTGTCTCTGACTGGCCAGGAACTTGCTTTGTATACCAGGTTGGCCTCAAACTCACAGAGACCTGTCTAACTCAGGCTCTCAAGTGCTGGGGTCACAAAGGCACGTGGCTATTGCACCCAGCCTTGTTAAGCATCTTGTATGCTACAGCTCCTGTGACTTTCTGATCATACAGTATGATACAGACAACTGTTGTCCCCATTTTACAGACAGGAAAATAAATTCAGAGAAGGCAAGAAAGTCTTCAAAGATGGTGTAGCTCCTAAAGGCTGTTTTGGTCTCTGTGATTTCTTTGCTTTTCAGTTTTCCTTTTCCCAAAGCACTCTCTTCATCTTTCCCTGCTGTCCCCCCAATTCTCTGTGATTGCACATTCTTGGCTTTAATCTTGAATGTGACTAACTCCTCTTCCGCCTTCCGCCTTAGAAAGCTAACCTGAGTCCGTATTCTCCTGATGAGTAGAGACAGCTACCTCTAAGGGTGAGAACCAGATGGGGTCTTATGGAGGAGCCAGTCTTTCTCAAGGAGGAGCACCTCATTGTCTAGGCCACGGCAGGGCTCCTGTTGGAGCTGAAGCCCTTCCTTTCTGTGTGGAGTCTTGTGTGGAGAGGGACCTGGCCATCACTGTCGTGGGATTTTTCCCCGAAGTCCTATCTGTAGTACCTCAAGTTCTGCTCTCACCAGTGCCTGGCTTCCCTAGCCTGGATGGAAGGTGGGAGGGGGTTTGTGAATGGGGGCTCTGGCTTTTTAGGGGAAAGGAGGAGGTCAGACAGAAACAGGTGCTGAGCCTGAGGTGTGATGTGGTAACTCTGAAAACCAGCCAAGTGTGAACAGAAATGCGTACTTTGTCACCTGCTTTACTCCAGGAATGGAAGTGGCAGATATAAGGATGGGGGAGTTGATCTTCGGAAAGAAAGTGAGAGGCTCGGGTGAGGGGGCCGGGTGTTGTCAGGAGGGAGGAGGCTGGTTGGAACTCTGGGCCTTTTTGGCCTTCTTAGTGTTCCTCGATGTGAGTGTCCCTGGGCTGAGGTAGGTGGAGGAGGTTTCATGAAGAAATCCAGGCCTGCCCCTGCCCTCCCCGCTCCCCACACACATTGCGTCTCACACTTTGAGGCTCACTCTACTGCTTCCCCATACAATCCAGCCTTCACCCACAGTGTCCCATATGTCTTTCTTCCCCCACACTCCTTCCCCACATCTCAGCTCTCCTGGTCCACATTGCCAGCCTGAGGTTGGCTGACTTCCTCTTCCTAAATAACTCTTGCCTCGAGGCAGGGTCTGGGTGAGGAGGCTTTGAGGTCTCTTGGGGTCAGGTTGAGGCTTACTTAGGACAGGGAGGCATTTTGTTTGAGTGTGTGCAGGAAGCGGGCCTGTGGGTCAGCACATCTCCCCTACTTTCTGTTGTCCTTTTCCGTTTGTTTTCCTCTTCCACACCTCACCTGATACGTGGGGAGGGGCCTCTTGTGCCACAGCCTGGGAGGCAGCAGCCCAAAGCCCTGTGGGTGGTGAAAATGAAATGGAGCGTCCTGGCATTTCAGTCCTGGTTGCCTCTACAAAGTTCTGTGTCCTTTCTCCTCTCCCTATAGCCTCCGCCTGGGAAAGATGCCAAAGGGAATATTCATCCTGTCCAAGACTGACCAGGGATGGGTCTAGGGGAAACTAGAGGTTGGGATGCTATGGGTTGTGTGTGAGCATGCGTGTGGGTGCTGGATTGGGGGCAGGGACTTCGAGAGCCGGATTGGGGGTGGGGGTGCCAGCAGAGAGCGGAACAGGTCGCTACAGAACCTGCCTAGCCAGGGTGGGTGGAGCTGGGTGGGGCAGGCAGGAACCATTCCAGGTTTCAGAGGGGAACTAGAATGTATGCGCACGTGTATGTGTGTCAGTCTTTCGGTGTCTGGATTTGGAGGGTACCCCCTCCCTCCCCGCTTTCCACTGAGGGAGCTTCCCAGAAGGTGGAAAGGGGTGTGGCTCTGCTTTCTAGCTCCTTTCTAGTGAGTATCAGGTACCCTGGGAGGAGCCCATTTGTAGGCTCTTCCCCTGCTGCTCCTCCCTTCCCCTGCTAGGAGAAGGATCCTGCTCCCACCCCGGGGCTGTGAGGATGGTGAGCTCATGTCTGGCCCTCCTAGGAGAGTGCTTGGTTAGCAGTATGGGGGTGGGGCGCCTGGTGCCAGCTCCTGGGCATCTGGTCTTGCAGCCTTCCCACTGGGCTCCCTGAGGTCCAGCTGCCTTCTTTGGCCTCTTGGGTCTCACTAGAGTCACTGGGTCTTTTCTGAGGGTACAAGAGTGAGTCTGGGAACCCTTTTATAGGCTAAGGTGGTCGTGGTCCTTGCCCATTCTGTACCTTGGTTCTTTCTGTGATAGGAAGGGTCTAGCATGAGCCCCTTGGGATGAGTGGTTTGGCCACGTCCAAGGCTGGATGGGATTGAATGGAGTGTTAGAGTTCTTTGGAGGGGCGGTTGAGTACAGGGCTGCCCTGTCTGGAGTTGGATTATTTGGTATTGGGCTTAGGTCTGCCTGTCGCTTGTGGGGGAAGGGTCAGGGCAGGAGTCAGCAAGTCCTCCTCTCTCCTCAGCTTCTTGTAGAGTTGTTGGAAGAACCAGAGCCAGAGGGTTGCTTGCAGAAGCATCTGCTTGCCTTCAGGAGATCCCCTGAGACCCAAGTGCTAGCAAAGTTTTCCAAGCAGTAAGAGTCCAGAAAGGGCTGTCATGGAAGTAGTGACCACTGACCAGCCATTAGCTTCCCTTCTCTGGTCCTTACTTTACTGTCTGTAGAGTTGGGCGAGTCAGTCCACCGTCTCCCATCTAGGGAGAGAGAAGGGCAGAATCAGAGAGCGTCGCCACTTTCTTTAGAGATCTAAGTTAGGTGTCTGTATTTTCACTCAAATCAAAAGCTTTGAGTCTCCATTATTGCCTGATAAGGCCACCTGGTTGGACTCATCTCTGAAACTCAGGGAACAGTAGTTAGGCCAAATGCTAATAACCCTTTGCACCTTTGCTCTACTTCTTGCTGATCAGCCTTATGACTAGGTGCTCTGCCCCTGGGCGGATAGCTAAGTACCCTCCAACCCCTTCAAAGCAGGCAATCGGCGCTTGCGAGTGCAACTTGGGAGTCACTTAGCTAACCATGGGTTGTGGTGCAGAAGTCGGGGCAGGTCAGATGCCGTGAGATCCTGGTTCTTGTGGAAGAATCAGAGGGTTGTAAAGGCAAGGGTCCACAGGTGGTTGCTCCTTCAGGAGGGCTCCAAAGGAATAACTGTGCCCAGGCAGGATTACCCTTCCAGGTCCCTGGCAGAGAAGAGGAAATACGGCCTACCAGAGACAGAGCCTGGTCAAAACAGAACTTTTAGCTTCTTGTTCACTTTCCCACCTTCATCTTTTTCTGGCCAAAGTCTTCTCTCATATGAAACCCAGGTACCTCTGTTCCACAGGACCGCTACTTCCAGCCCTGTCGTATTGGTAGAGATGAAGAAGAGTTACCCCTTCTGAGGTGTACACTTATGATGTGTCCCTTTCCTCCTTTCTCCTCTGGCCGAGTTACCCTGGCTTTTGCTTCTTCCCAGATACATCCTTGTTGTGTTCTGCCTCATGACCACATCCCAGGTCTGAAGATATTGTAGGGCTAGAGCAGTGGCAAAAGAAGATAGTGACCACAGGCTCCTATGCCTGGTTGTCCTCAGTGCCTGTGGGGTATGTGTTTGTGTGCAAGCACAAACACTTGACTGTCAACTCGGCTGCTCCTATGAGTGGCGAATGGGGAAGGGTCAGTTGGTCCTGGTCCAAATTTACCCAGCACCCCTGTTACCCACATACCATATACCCCAGGGCCTTGCTCTCTCTGCCTCTTGCCAGGTTTTCAGTTTATATTTTCTAGAGGCCTCCAATTGTTTCCTGAAGAAACCAGATCCCATGCTTAGACAAAAGCTGGGGCTGCCAGAGGAGAAACCCCATTCTCTCCCCCTCTATCCCATTCCCCCACCTCTATAACCTTTCTCGCTTTGGATGCTGGGTATGGGTTCCAGGACCTGGCTGCCATCACCTAGGCAACAGGGGGCTTTGGTTGCTATGGCGATCAATGTGGGAGAAGCTGGGCAGCCGGGACAAAAGCCCCCACATTCCCTTCAGCCCTCCTCCCAATTCCCTTGGGATGATACTGAGACACATTCCATTAATTTTGTTTCTGAAAGGCCTTTGGAGGGGAGAAGGGTCTCCTTTCTGTGCCGGGGCGCTCTCTGCTCTCCCTCTCTCCTCTTTGGCCTCCTTTTAACCCCAGATAATCCATGGCTGGTTTGAGCAGGGGACTCAGTGCCTGTGTGTGTGTTGAGGAGTGGGGGGTGAGTTAAAAAACAGTGGGGCATATTCCCTTTCTACAGCGTCAGCCCCTTAGCTGGGTGCAGCTCTCTGCCCTGTGCCAAGCCCAGACTTCTCCTCCTGTCTCCTCATCGCTCTGACATTTCTACTTGTTGATCTCATCTAGTGATTCCCCTCCCCCACCTTGTTTCCTGGGAATGCTGCCCACCCGGGAGACCCTCCAAATCTGATCCTTGAGACTGATTAAGTAAGGGGAACTTCTGCCCATCTCTTTGCCTACCTTTCATCCCTTCCCATCGCTGGGATTAGCTCCCTTGGGTACCCAGAGGGGACAGAAGGCAAAGGCTTCAGAAGTTGTGGTGCTTTGTGGGCCCCTGTGTTTGGTGGGTGAGGGTGGAGCATGTTTTGCTGCGTTTTGGACCCCCCTCTGTATGCCAAGGCTGTGGGGTCTGTCTTTTGCTGGGGAGGAAGGTGGGGCCCCTCCCAGCCTAAGTAGCTGGGAACAAAGAGTCGAGAGATGACCGGCACCCTGTCTGGCTGGAGATTTATCTGCAGGGGAAACAGAGTAGCTTCACCTCACCTCTGGGTGTGTTTGAAGTAGTGGGTCTGGGTGGGGTGCCGCACTGTCGAGTTCTTTATTTAGCCCTACAATTTATTTATAACACCGCCTTCCCTAGTTTCAGAGGAAGTGGTTGGGGACTGGAGTTTGAGAGCTTATTAATTGCTTAACTATTAGTAGCTGTGCAGCCTATGAAAGCACTTCTTTCATCCCTGCAGTCCTTGTAGCTACTCCACGAAGGAGGTGTCCTCATCTCTTGTTTTACTGAAAGGCCCACCAGGCACAGCAGGGTCAGTAACTTACCCGTCGGCACACAGCTCGGCGATGGGAGGGCCAGGTTTTAAACCCGGATCTTTGTGTACATCCCGGGCTCCTTTTGCTGTTGGCTCTGTGCAGGCATTTGGGATGAGGATGAGGAAGGAGAGGGCTCTAGTGTCTGGATCCAATCCACAGCACTTCCTTTGCCATTCTGCCTCATCGCCCCCCCCCCCCCCTGTAATCCGTCAGTCTCGGAGCCTCCTGGCCCAGTTCAGTTTTTAAGAGGAGAACTAGAAAGAATAGGTGGGAACCACATCAAAAGTATTGCAGCTGCAGCGTCTGAACCCCGTACGGAGGAGTAAACCAGTAGAGTGGGTTCCCAGGGGAAGGGTTGAGGAGCCCGGTGTGTCATTTGCAGACAGAGGGATGAACATGGGACAAGCCCTGTTTGTGGCCCTGCTTTATCAAGGTTCAGGTTTGAGCTGAAGTCTATCTGTCCCCAAAGTATGTCTCTGTCACATGTTGTTGCTTTGATGGGGGGGGCAGTATTGAAATCACTGGCTCACGGATTGCCTCCATGTGGCTCTGTTAGGAGGAGAAATGAATAGATTTCACATTGATTCTTATCTCCCCTCAATGGCAGTTTCCCTGAGAGTCAGGCAGGCATATTCATTTACTGGGTGGGTATCAGTTACTTTCCCTGTGTCCACAGGATGCAAATATGTATCACTCATTCTGCTCATTCTCCAACTGTTGGCGGGTTAACGTAGCTGGAGAAAAGGTAACTTCACAAAGCAGGTCTGTTTCAGTGCTTAACATGATGAACTCCTCAGCAGCGTAGGGCCTGGTTGTGTTTATTCCTCCCTGCAAATCCACTTGTCTTGACAGTACACTCTGCCGGCCTCTGGTCTCTCCTCAGTCTCTTTGCTTGCCCTCCCCCGCCCCCCAACATGTGCAGTTTGGAGTTCTTGCATCCATTCTCCTGAGCTCAGGGCAGTGTCTCTGCATGATGCCCATACCTCCAGTTCCGACTGAAGCTCCTTGGATGCCTAGCTGCCCATTCCTCACAGCCATGAGCTCTGTGAATAAGGAACAGTAGTCACAGCCCTCTCCCACAAGCTTGCTCTTCCTCACACATGGTTCTCCCTAAACTCCATCCTCCCAAACTCGCTTCTTTTAATGCTCTGCCTTACCAGAGGCTCAGCATCTTCTCCCTTGCTCACGCTAGTTTTGTTTTTGTTTTTCCCAAGACAGGGTTTCTCTGTGTAGCTTTGGCTGTCCTGGACTCGGATTTGTAGATCAGGATGGCCTTGAACTCCCAGAGATCTGCCTGCCTGTGCCACTGCTGGGACTACAGAGGTGTGCCACCATGTCTAGCTCAAGATAGGTATTTTTATTTTGATACGTTTTACTTATTTTTGTGGGCTTGACTGGGTGTTTTTGATGTTTCTTGTCCCACTCCCCTGAGTCAGCCCTTCATCAGGTCTAGTTTTCTGTGAGTCTATTTCTTACCTCTTCCTGGGTTCTAGTGGCCAAGTCTTCCTGCTATAGGACCATCTTACTGATCTCCCCATTTCTGCTTTTTCTTTTTTCCAACTCAATTCTACACAGCTAAAGAGGCTTCTTGATGACCTGCAAATAAAAGCAGAACTCTCTGCATGGCTCCTGCTGCTTCAGCCACTCTCTCTCTCTCTCTCTCTCTCTCTCTCTCTCTCTCTCTCGTCCGTCCTCAGCTTTGTTTTTTGTTGTTCCCTAAATGCATGGAGCCACTTCTTGACGTGGCCTTCCATGGTGTCATGTCATCTCTTCCCTTCCTCGGGCGTTTTCTTCCTTTCTTGGGCATGTTCAAGGCTTCCAGACCTTCAGTTTAAAGTATGACCATGGGGTTCGGGAAGCTCAGTGTTAGAGTGCTTGCTTAGGTTCAGTCCCTGATCCTTTTGTCTGTGGTCTTGTAACCTCTTGTTCGTTTTCTTCCCCCACACCGACATGGCTGCTTGTATTTATAGGCGTAGTGGTTTAGTGTACATCTTCCCCCAGACCATAAACTCAGAGTCAGTTATACCTTAGTATCGAGAAAAGAGCGAAGCGTGTGGAGTGGGGGGGGGGGGCGGGGGGGGAGTTAGGTTTGCTTGGTCAGGGAGTGAAGGCAGGAGGTGCTCTAGGGCATGGCAATGACTTAAGTCCTGTTGCCATCGTCAGTGGAGAAGATGAGCCTGGTTGCTAGAGTAGCTGGAGCTTCTGGGAGAGTTGGGGCTAGCCTCTGAAGGATGATGGGTGGCACTTGGAAAATTGGGGAGGAGATACCATCCTCTTCTACAGAGTTAGATGTGCAGTGTGGACGGAGGAGGCTGCCGGCCAGCCTAAGTAGAGATGGTCTTTCGTCTTGCTTGTCCTGGGGCTTTAGGCTATTGGAGGATGCTTCTATTTGTTTTTTACTCCACCATGCTGTCAATCTCCACCTCCATCCATTCATCAATGAGAGAGAGAGATTATGCTAGAAAGCCTAGCGTGTAGGTATGTGCATGTGTCTCTAGGTCTCGTTTTCCTGATGGAGAATAGGAAAGTGGTGCCTTGATTCTTCGTAATGGGGTGCTCAAGTTGGGTTATTATATCTTTCTTGCTGGAGCCCATGACAGCATCTTTCTCAGCCCTGAATACTCGGCACGCTGGGTGGAGGGTCTTTCTAGCTGGCAGAGCAGCAGGAGCTAAGCCCATTGGACAGAACAGGAACCAGGAATGAGGTATCCTCAGGGAGTGGCTGGGCTTACCTGAGCTTCTGCTGGCATTTGGGGATAGTTTTTCCCCTGTGTCCTGACCTACAGGGATCCTGAGCTACCCCCTAAGCCACTGCTTTATCTTCTCAGGGAGCTGTCGCTTGAATTTCTCTGAGATAAGCCCACTCGTCCAGCAAAATAGAGTCCCTCAGGGCGACGGTTGACTTCCTAAAGGTGCCTCTTGGCCTGAAGAAGCCTGTGCTGAAGGAGGTGGCTGTGGGGCCCCCCAAGAGGCCCCAGCCCGCGGCCCTGGAGCGCTACAAGGCACGGCGTTCAGACGCCATGGACACTGAGTCCCAGTACTCGGGTTATTCCTACAAGTCGGGCCACTCCCGCAGCTCCCGAAAGCACAGGTGGGCACGGCTAGAGTGGCGGAGAGAGATCAGGCTGGTGGTGAGGTGGTGTATGCTGAGGTGGGGCTGGTTGGGGCCTGCTGAAGGGACCTTGATCCCCTCTTGACCGTTTTGTTCCTGTTTCTCTGGTTTCCTGCTGCAGAGACCGCCGGGACCGACACCGCTCTAAGAGCCGGGATGGGAGCCGAGGAGATAAATCCGTGACGATCCAGGCTCCAGGAGAACCCCTGCTGGACAATGAGTCCACCAGGGGGGATGAGCGGGTGAGCATCGGGGATAAAGTGGTTTAGATCAGACATTGTCTGATGCCTTGGGGCAGGTGGACTCTCCATGAGGCAGGGGAAAGACAGATAGATACCTGGTCTCCTAGGACAGATCCAAGATCCAAAAGGATATCTTTTTGTTTGTCTTTCAAGACAGGATTTCAAGACAGGATGTAACACAGACTGGTCTTAGTTTTTGTTGTTTTGGTGTGTTGCTTGTTTGTTTTTGTTGTGAGACGGGGTTTCGCAGTGTAGCTCTTGCTGGCATCAAACTCACAGAGAACTGCCTGCTCCTGCCTCCCGAGCTCTGGATTCAAAAGTGTGTGCCACTATGCCTGGCCCCCTAGATTGGCTTAAAAACAAAACAAAACAAAACAAAACAAAACCCCCCAAAACCAGAATTCTCCTCTCCTGAGTCCCAAATGAAGGGATTACAGATGTGCACTACTGTGCCTTCTTTTTTGTTTAGTGTTTCAAGGTGGGGCCTTGTTGCAGTGGAATTCAGGGAATTTCAATGGAAACCCTTTTGGAGGTGGTAGTTTCTACCTGATCTCAAGAGGCAGAGGTAGTTTAGCTGAGTAAGGAGAAATGTCCTTGTTACTCCAAAGCTCCCGTCAGCCAGTCAGGCTGCTGCAGGAGGAGTTAAAAGGGCAGCAGCGGTGGTGGGTGGTGGTGGGTAGCCCACAGGTTCCCTAAAGTTTCAGACGTACTATGCCCTCTGCTGTTAGCTTGTGGAACAGCATCACATAGGTCCTAGGGAAAAGGGGTTTGGGAAGAGTTGATGGAGATGAAGTCCGAGAGAAATGAGGCTGCACAGTTAAAGAGGTTACCGTGAAAAAGAATTCTTCAGGACAGTGAACATTTGTTTCTGTCCTAACCTCTGGTCCATTGCACTCGCTGAGGAGAGAGGACAGTAGGCAGAACACTGGAATTTAGGAGGGACGGGATTTGCAGTGACATGAGATTGCTCGTCTTATTATTCCTGTTCTTTTTCTTGGGAAATAACTTAGGCAATGGAGACTCTTAGCTTCTTGTTCTTGTGTGTGCGTGTGTCTGACGTTGGGAACTCTTTCCTTTCCGTGATACCAGGCCTCATGGATTTTTGAAGTGACCTTGAGATATGATTAGCTCACCTGCTATTTGGTGGGGTTCCCTAGGCCTTGATTTTGAGAGGGTAGGTAGTGTATCTGAGGTCACTGGGTGAGGGCATGGTTTCAACCCCACAGCTGACAGCGGCCAGCTCTTCAGCTTTCTATATTCAGCTCAGAATTCTTCTCCCTTCCTTGGGAGAGGAGATTCCTCAGCTCTCTAGGTCACTGGCTCTTCTAGGCCACCTCCTCCTCCACCGCACTGCATGGCTCATCATGTAGCTTGCTCCCCCTGGGTTTTTAGGGTAGGACTCTGTACGTCCATGCTGGAGGTGAACTGTGAAGTCCTGGTGGTGTTGGGACTTCTCTGTGGGATGGTGTGGGATGGCCACTGCAGAGAAAGAGCTTTGAGCAGACCACACTCTCTGGGGGAGTGGGGGAGCCCAGCCTTCCCATGCTGCCTCCACAGATCCTATACCATGTCATTTAGATGACCACCCACCAGAGGTAGCTTTATAGAGACTCATGGTGACCCTGAGTCTGCATAGTACTTCCCATATCCTATTTAGATCATTCACTGGTCTTCCTGTCCCCTGTTCTCCCCTAATGAGAACACTGCAGCAGCTCCTCGTGGTTGGAAGATAGATGATTTTTTTTTTCTTTTTAAAGGCAAGGTGTCATGTAGCTTAGGCTAGCCTTGAAGTTACTAATGTAACTGAGGATGGCTTTGAACCTCTGATCTTTCTTCCTCCACCTCCCAAGTGCTAGGATTACAGACACCATACACTGCCTCCGTGATCCGCCTGCTTCAGCCTCCTGTGTGCTGGGATTAGAGTCACACATTACCTCGCTTGGCTGCAATGTCTGTTTCTTAGCCTGGCATTGTCACCTAGACTGCCCTGGTGGCTTTGACTTCCCCTTCCTAGCCACTCTGCTCTTTGCCCCTGCGCTTGCCGGCTCTCTCATTCTTCAGGGTGCCTTGGTTCATGAATCTGTCTCTCTTTGGTTTCTGCTGAGATCACGGACTTCTGCAAAAGCTGGAAGAAGCTTAGGAGAGCCCTTCTAAAACGTGAATGTTGGAACAGTTCGTGGGCATCTTGAATAAATGCAGATTGTGGCTTGGTAGATGTGGGGGTGTGGGCCTCTAGTTCTGCATTTCTCACATGCTCCCAGGTGATTTCCACCCTGCTGGCCCATGGGGGCACGCATTCTAACTAGCGGACCATAGAGACCATTTAGTCCAGAGTTCCCAGTCTTGGCTGAACATTATAATCATCTTGGGAGCTTTTTTTTTTTTTTTTTTTAAAAAAAAGGTTGACAATCAGATTTCACTTTGCATAATTGGTATGTTTTCCAAGCTCCCTAAGGTGATTCTAATGTGTGCAGCTGGGGTTGGGAATCACTAATTCAGATGAGCTTTTGCATGTCACCAGCTGCTGGGGGTCGGCTCGGGTCCTGTCACTCTCTGGAAGCTGCCTGTTTTGTGCCTGGCAATTCTGCCCCTGGGTCGTGGTCACTGCCCGAGCGATTCCCTTGGCAATTGTCCTGTGCTCTGTTTTTCGGGGGTCATCGCTGCACGTGGTGGTGTTTTCCTCCCTGATCTCCGTGCAGCTCCCCAGGGACTTGGGTTTTAAATTGCAATTTCTGCAGCGATAAGACGGGCACTCGGCGAAGCTCAGCGAAGCTCGGTAACTTCTCTGATGATTGCTTATTTGTTGGTTTCTCCTGTCTCTCCTGTCTCCATTCCCATGCACTCCTCCTCTGTCTCCTGCTCATCCTTTCCTCTTCATCCCCTTCCTGACTGCAGGATGACAACTGGGGAGAAACAACAACCGTCGTCACAGGCACATCTGAGCACAGCATCTCCCACGATGACCTCACACGCATCGCCAAGGACATGGAGGACAGTGTCCCCCTGGATTGTTCGCGACACCTGGGTGTGGCAGCGGGGGCCACTCTGGCACTGCTGTCTTTCCTCACCCCGCTGGCCTTCCTGCTGCTGCCCCCACTGCTGTGGCGGGAGGAGCTGGAGCCGTGTGGGACGGCCTGCGAGGGTCTCTTCATCTCTGTGGCCTTCAAGCTGCTCATCCTGCTGCTGGGCAGTTGGGCTCTGTTCTTCCGCCGGCCCAAGGCCTCCCTGCCCCGGGTCTTCGTGTTACGTGCCCTGCTCATGGTGCTCGTGTTCCTGCTGGTCATCTCCTACTGGCTCTTTTACGGTGTGCGCATCTTGGATGCCCGGGAGCGCAGCTACCAGGGCGTGGTTCAGTTTGCCGTCTCCCTAGTGGATGCCCTGCTCTTCGTGCACTATCTGGCTGTCGTCCTGCTGGAGCTGCGTCAGCTCCAGCCCCAGTTCACGCTCAAGGTCGTGCGGTCCACAGATGGGGCCAGCCGCTTCTACAATGTCGGCCATCTCAGGTATGGGCGCACGTCAGTAAGTGGGACCTGTAGGGGACAAAGACGAGACCTGAAAGGGTTGGGGCTGGGGAGGGAAGGGAAGGGTGTGACGGTAGGGATAATAAGCGATAAACTAGTGGGGCTGGGAGGAAGGGAGTTTGCACATAGTAAGAGTTCAGTGATATTTTCAGCCTCACTGCAAGGTCATGTGTGTAGGATTGTGGGCAAGATGGTAGTGGGAGTCATGAATTGGGAGCGGTTAAACAATTCAAAACCAGGTGTCTGAGAGGAGGATGGACCAAAGAGGAGAGAGTTATGGGGAATAAACAGAGGGTTTTTCATCTTTTCTTGGAGGCACGGTTTCTCCAGGAGTAGTCAGTATATGTTACTTAAGAGGAGCTGGTCAGAGGATGGACTGCCAGTGGAGAGACAGGAAGTCAGCTCCCACCAGCCTTGTGGGCAGGCTGGCCCCCTCCTTTCTCAGGTGGCTCCTTCCAGGTTCTATCAGAAACCTTGGGAACATGGGGATGAGGAGACCTTTGCCTGGGGCCCATTTAATCCTGGCTTCAGCGTGGTGGGAAATGACTAGCAGACCCAGCCTTGGGAAAGGTTAGGGGCCTGGTAAGTATAGACCTCAGGCTTGAGCCAGGCCTCCTGGAAGCAGCTTGTCCCTGTCATATGTCCTCTCCAGCCCTGCCGACCTGCCCTGATGTGTCCCTTCCCCTGCACCCCTTGTCTGTCCCTCCACCCTCCCCCTCCTGCCGTCTCCCCCAACAGCATCCAGCGAGTGGCAGTGTGGATCCTGGAGAAGTATTACCATGACTTCCCTGTCTACAACCCCGCCCTCCTCAACCTGCCCAAGTCCGTCCTGGCCAAGAAAGTGTCTGGCTTCAAGGTGTATTCTCTCGGAGAGGGTGAGCGGCCCTGCTCCTCCACCCCTCCCGGCCTCTTCCTAAGCAGGACTCCAAGCTACTTCCCTTGCCTTTTCCTTTCTCTGGCCTGTGTCCCAGCCCCCTCTGTTCTGTCATTTCCCTTGACTTCAGGTAGCTGGTCTTAGTGGCTGATCCTTTTTACCCTCTGGTTTAGCTCCTGTGTCTGCTCAAAGCCCTGGTCTCCACCCTTCGACCCTGTGCTGCAAAACCTCCCGCACCAGGAGGCATATATGCAGGACTCCTGCCTTTCCGATGCCTTTCTGGTTGCTTTCCTGCAGTTTCTCCCAGAGGTGGCCAGGAGGGCTGGGACTGGGAGGCATTGCTGGGTGGTGGGGACACATCCAGGTTTCCCGAGTTCCAACAGAGCTCAGAGGCTACATTCTTTTTTTTTCTGACCATCTCCTCTGTCCCGATCCTGTGCAGAAAACAGCACCAATAACTCCACCGGCCAGTCAAGGGCTGTGATTGCGGCAGCGGCGCGGAGGCGGGACAACAGCCACAACGAATACTACTACGAGGAAGCTGAGCATGAGCGCAGAGTGCGCAAGCGCAGGGCCAGGTGGGTACTGGCTGTGCGAGTTCGGGGCGGAGTTCCAAGAGTGGTGTGAGTGGGATGAGCTGGGGCACGGAAGCCCAGGAGGCCCCTGTACCTGCTGGAAAGAGAGCAGTGATGAGGTAGGGTTTGAATACTCATCGCCTAGTGCTTCCACGACTGATTTCCACAGACCCGGCAGCTGTAAAACAACACATTTGCTGCTGTGTTCCATGGAGCAGGTTCAGGCTTCCTGGACCATCTGCTTGGACTTTGGAGACTAAAATCTGTGCAACTCTCTCATCTGAGCCTGGGCTTCTCCTCCAAGCTTCCTGGCTTTTGATGGATTCATTTTCGTGTCATGCCACGCCACAGTTTTCATCGTGGTAGTCGGCTTTTTCTAACAGGAGCCAGCGCTTTCTGACTTTTGGCACCTATAGAGAAGACTGGTTTTCAGGTCCAACAGGATAATTAGAGAGAGAGAGAGAGAGCGTGCGCATGCATGCATGCAGAGGACGGAGGACAACCTCAGGTGTCATCAGCTTTGTTTTTTGAGATGCTCTCTTCATTGCCCTGGAGCTCACCAATTAGGTTAGACTAAGCTGGTGGTCACCAGGTCCCAGGGATATGCTTGTCTCTGCTTCCCTAGTGTTAGGATTAAAAACACAGGCCATTATACTTGGAATTTTTATTTTTATTTTTTGAGATTGGATTTTACTCTGTAGCCCTGTCTGGAACATACTGTGTAAATCAGTCTGGTCTCAAACTGCTGCGTATATTCTCCCGCCCTAATCAGGTGTCAGCTGGGCTATTGTGGCTAAATAGAAATGCCATTTCTAGGGCCAGGAGCCCTGCCGAGCCCCATGACATGAGTTCAATCCCCAGAATCCGTATGTGGGAAAGAGAGAAGGGACTCCTCGAACCCCCACAGAGGGCGTGTGCATGCCTCCAATTAATACTACTACTACTAATAATAGTAATGAGTCATTCCCCTTTGCTCATACCTACGAATTTTTTGCATAGCGTAGTGTGGTGTGGAGTCTTTTCCTAGGGTCTTGGCCTTTTCTGTACCATAGTTCCTAGGTGTCTTTCTGTGTTTGATATTAGCACATTCACTTTAAGTCCCTAATCTGATTCTACTGAGTCTAACTATTTCTTGTCGCCTGTGAGGAAAGTACCTCGCGTCTCCTAATCCTCAGGCACTTGGCTCCACATGGGCTTCTGTTACTTCAGGGAGAGCACAGAGGCCTGACCTTGCTCTGGCTGCGGCAGCCCAGGGCGGAGGGGTAGAGGGTAGGGTGAGCAGTGGGCATCTGGTCCAGATTCTGCCTGTCCCCCAGGCTCGTGGTGGCTGTGGAGGAGGCCTTCACTCACATCAAGCGGCTGCAGGAAGAGGAGCAGAAGAACCCCCGGGAAGTGATGGACCCCCGGGAAGCAGCCCAAGCCATCTTTGCGTCCATGGCCCGCGCCATGCAGAAGTACCTCCGGACCACCAAGCAGCAGCCTTACCATACGATGGAGAGCATCCTGCAGCACCTGGAGTTTTGCATCACCCACGACATGACGCCCAAGGTAGGCCCGCTGCTTCACACCTTCCTCTGTGCCCGGCTCCTAGACCCTTTTGCTCATGACCGTTTTCCCTTGTTCTCACCTCACTCTTCCCTCCCCTTGCCTCTTCATCTCTTCTTTCTAGTCTCTTTTCTTGTCTCTACTCCATCCATCTTGTCAGTGTGGAGTTGGGGAGGCAAGGGTAGGCTTCTGAACTGTCTGGGGGAATGTCAGAGGCCTGTTTCCCCATCTTTACAAGGCTCTAGAATTCCCACATTCCAAGTCTCATCTTTACCCCCAAAGTAAGCTTTTGCCCATGCTTACCTCAGCCCAGCTGCCAGCTTCCTAGAATGGCTGTCTCGAAGCCTTTGGTGAGTGTGTGATAAACAGGTTCTACTTTGGGGCTGGGAAAGTAGCTCAGAGCTGGATCAGGCCCGAGTTCTTAATTTCAGTTACCAGCAAAACATGCACACACATGCACACACATGCACACACACGCACACACACATACACATACCTATACACACATGCATACACACACACTTTCACATGAATCTTTTCCTTGGCTCACTTCCTTCCTAGTGCAGACTTACATGGCTCTAATCATATCAGCTGTACGGAAGGAAAGGAAGAAGGAAGGAAGAATGAGGTTCGAGTTGCCTTGGGCACAGCCTAAGGCAAGGAACAGAGTGACGGATAGGGGTGAATTCCGGTCCTGACTGGAGCCATATCATGTCTGTGCGTGTTATCATCCCCATCTGTCCGTTAGGCTTCTCTCTGCTCTTGCATTTGAAGATACTAGTTCATTCTAGCATAAGCTCAGAAATATCCTAGCTATCTTTGAAAGCTGTGTTCCACGGGATGAAGGATGGGTGGATGGCAGAGATGCCTAGACAGTGTTTTCTTCCCTCCTCAGGCCTTCCTGGAGCGATATTTGGCAGCTGGACCTACCATCCAGTATCACAAGGAACGTTGGCTGGCCAAACAGTGGACATTGGTGAGCGAGGAGCCGGTGACCAATGGGCTCAAGGATGGCATCGTTTTCCTCTTGAAACGCCAGGACTTCAGCCTGGTAGTGAGCACCAAGAAGGTGCCATTCTTCAAACTCTCTGAGGAATTTGTGGATCCCAAGTCACATAAGTTCGTCATGCGGCTTCAGTCGGAGACCTCTGTGTGACTTTGCAACAGCAGGGGCCGGGGGGAGTGTGGGGGTTCCTGCAGAGTGGGAATGGCTGGCTTCTCTAGCCCTGTCACATTTCTGCCATCCTACTTCCTCTTGCTCTTGCTTTTGTTTTGCTTTGTTTCGTTTTTTTTGTTTTTACTTGAATTAACTTATCCTGTCCCCAGTCTCCACCCCTCTTCCTCTGTTTTCCCCCTGTAAATCTGGAGAGACCACCTTGCTTTAACAATACCTGGGAACTGCCCTGCCCCCCAATTTTGTATCACTCCAGGCCCTGCAGGAAACAGTGCCTCGTACCCCGCTCTTCCCCCAAATGTCCCCTGGATGGAAGTCCCTTCGGAAAGGGCATAGGGCCTTCCTGATTGTACCCTTGCCTCCTGAGCGCCCACTCACAAGCCTGCATTCTTAGATCTGCGCTCTCTAGTAGCTCCCGATAGAGTTTCTTTGGGGGGGGGGCATAGCTCTGACCCCAGAGAACCATGGTGCCAAATTGCTGTGGGACAGCAGCTAACCCTCTGCCCTGTCCCCACCCATAGCCCTGGCTCCCTGGGCAAGGGTGCAGCTGTGACAGTCCTGGGGTTAGGATTCTTCCTCCAGTGTTACCTGCTTCCCACTGCTCCAGCTGTGCTTCCTGGTCCACACAGACACACAGACACACACACACACACACACACACACACACACACACAGAACAAGGGGGAGTGCCATCTTCTACCCAGGAGTCTTCACTGCTGTTTCTGACTTGTATGGTCACGTGACCATAGGTAAAGTGAAGTGGAACCTCTCTGATCGCTTTATCAGGGCTGTTGGGGAGGTCCCATGTGTCTTTCTTGGATAACTCCTGAGAGGAAGGGCAGGATAGACCTGAGGTTGGAGAGACCCTTGTCACTGACCCCTGTCCCTCTGAGCCGTTCCTTCCGGCCCTTCCCTGTGAAGGATGCATGTAGACTTCTGTAAGGACCCTGGTATGCAGACCCTGACCAACCTGTGGTCTAAGACAGTTTTCTTTTCTGCACCAGCTACCCCAGTCCTGCTGACTTCCAGCTCCTGTGGCCTCATCTCTGAGGGGAGGGGCCAGCAGCTCCTTCTCATCCCCTGCCTTAAGTCCGGTTCTGTGCCTCAGGGGTCTCTTTTCCATGGCCTTCCAGGGTCCCATCCTCTTCTCTCCCTGCCTCACTGATGAGGGTGAGGGACCAGGATTACTGCCTTTTGTGGCTATTAGCTCCTCACCCCCATTTTAACTAACATAGCGGTTTGCAACCGAATCTGAGTCTCAGTCATTTAAAGCTCATTTGGAGCAGGATTCACTTAACCCTCTACTCGATGTTTTCAGAGCAAATTTGAGCTTTTCAATCAGACACCTTTACCACAAGGAATAGAAATTGGAAATAGCCGCACATCCTTCCGGGATCCACGTGGGGATGGTTCTGATGGCTGGGGTGGAGCAATGCCCCTGGGCCACTTCTCTAAACAACTCCCAAAGCCCCCCCCGCACAGGCCCCGAACTCACTCCCCTGGAAATTTTGCTGGTACTTGGCTGTGCAAAAAGCACACAGTGAGACGAGGTACCCACTGATCTCACTGAGGCTGTGGGATCCAAAATGGGAGCCTACCCACCACTTGCTAAGGAGCTGGTCCATTAGTGCTTGCTTTGTACCCATAGGAACGGTCTTTGGGATTGACTTAACGCAGGGGCCTCACGGGGTTAGCTTAGGGCTGTGGTAGAGGTGCCTGGGTCGAAGATGCCCTTGAGGCATGGGACGGTATCTTTTCTTAAAATAAAATAAATCAGGTTTCAGAGGAGAATCTTTTGGGTCACATAAATACCTCACTGTCCTGGAAAGCAGGGCCTGGATGGTGATTGGGGTTTGTTGCCTTTGTGGGCAAGGATGGGTTGTGGTGTTGGTTTTAGCAGAGGGTGGGGGTGGGCAGAAGGAAAATATTTGGGGTCTTAGTTGATGCCTATGGTTAGGGGCACGGGAGTGTTTATTTTAAGAACCTGCCATGTTTTTTAATCACTGTGATACTTCCATTCCTTTTTCCTAAAACAAAAAGAAAGAGTTTCCCCGACTCTCTTGTCTAAGCACTAAGGGCTGTGACTAAGAATGGTAGCATTTTGGTCCTTCGTGTCAAAACTGTGGTATCTTCGTCTGCTTCGGTTGTTATTATTTTTTAAAGTGTCAGGATGAATTGTCAAGTGTATGGCTCTCTGTGTGTGTGTGTGTGTGTGTGTGTGAGTGTGTGTGTCTTTTGCTTCTCCAGAATGGGAAGTTGTCTTCACTCTGTGAACTGCTAAGGGGTGGGCAGTTGACTCAGTCCCTCTGAGAGGTTTCCCTCAACCCATTCTGTCCCACCATTCACTTGGTTTCTCATTCTTCCACTGTGGGAATGCGGCTCCCCAGCCCGACGCTCTCACCATAGGGGATGCTGTGCTGGGCTACTCCAGTGCCCTCACTGCTCTGGCCGTGTGGCATCCCAGCTTGCCCCCACTGCACAACTTGTCATGACCTCGGAGCGCTTAGCTCTCTTCCCTCCACACCAGGACACCGTGCCTCAGTCCTTCACCTACCTCGCCACTCTCACGCTCCCCATTGGTCCCTTCCAGCGTTCTCCTAAATTTGTGTTTTTATTTATGTCCCTCCAGTCTCTCGCTTCTTCCCACCTCCTTCCATCTCTGCCCCGATGCTTTTGCTCCCAGCCAGCCACAACATTCCCACTCTAAACCCTGCTTTAATAAAGGCATTGAGGTGGGATTCTCCAGAGAGCCTCACTCCGGATGTCTGTTTCCCAGGGTTTGTGTTTTCCCTGTTGGTTGGGCCTAGCTCTGCCTTGTCCCTTCCTGGTGTCTGTCGGTCTCTTCTGTCCTCTGTTCTCCCCGTGGGGCAGCATCTACTGATGGGTTCCGTTCTGATGTGTGATTGTTGTAATTTGTTCTTCTGTGTGCAAAAGGAAGGGGCTTCTTGAATCTCTTCCAAGTGAGATTGTAAATGTAGAATTTTCCATTGTTGGATCTAGATTTTTTTTTTTAATTCCTTTTTCTTCCCCCTTTCATTTTCTTCTTTCTCTCTTTTTTATTTTTTTAATCTTTTTATCTTTTTGGGCTTTTTTTTTTTTTTTCAGAGCTGAGACCTTGTGCATGCATGTAGAAAATTGTAAAATGTAAATTTTTTTTAATATATAAAAAGCTTGTTTTTACAGTTTGCAGTGGATTAAACATTATGGCATAGGGATTTTTTTCTTAAACATAGGAACTAAAACTGTACAAAAATTTTTTTTATATAAAATAAAGACATTTGACTTTTGTGAGGGTTATTCTTGTTGCTTTTCTTTTCTCAAAGTGGGAGCTAAAGGTGGTCAAGGAAGAGAGAATATGTGTGTGGGCAGTAGGGGGCAGTGTGAGCCTTGTCATGCCATGGCTCCAGGCAGTGTGGAGACCGAGAGAAAATAAGAAACTGTTTGCTGTTGGCCCTGATTCTGAGGTGAGGGAGCTGTGGTCTACCCAGGGGTGGTCGTCAGGATGAGGACTCAGGGATTACTTTCAGCCCGTGTTTTTCCTAGTAAGTCTGTGGGTATGGCCTCCATGTGTTGGAAGGGAGTGGGTTGTCCAAACCAGAGATGCTGACACGATAGCCCCTCACGTCTTATTTATAAAAATCCCCAAACTTTACCTCTGGTTTTACATTTATTTTTAAAAGATGAGATTCTGGGGCTGGTGAGCTGGCTCGGTGTTCAGAGGACTTGTTGCTGTTACTGAAGTCCCCAATTCAGTTCCCAGCACCTACTAGGCCCTGACTCATAAACACCTGTAACTCCAGATGCAGGTGATCTGGCGCCCTCTTCTGGCCTCTGTGTGTATCTATATAATCTATATATGAACACCTTCTTTCTTTTTATTTTTCTCTCACACGATACATCCTGACCTCACCCCCCCATTCTTTCCAGTCCTCTCCTCCCAACCTCCCCTCTCTTACAGTTCCACTGCTTCTCTGTTTCTCTTCAGAAAAGAGCAGGTCTCCCAGGGATATTAACTGAACACAGTAACAAGATGCAATAAAACTAGGGACAAACCCTCATATCAAGGCTGGATGAGGTAACCTGGTAGGAGAAAATGGGTCCCAAGAGCAGGCAAAAGAGTCAGAGACACCTCACTTTCACTGTTAGAGGAGTTCCACAAAAACACTAAGTTTAACAACTGTAGCATATATAAGTTTAACTGTAGCATATATAAGTTTAACAACTGTAGCACAGACTCATGCAGGCTCTGTGATTGCTGCTTCAGTCTGTGAGCACTCAGAATGATTTTTTTTTCCTAGTTCAATTCATTTGCCTGCAAACTTGATGATGTGATTTTTTTTTAACAGCTGAGTAATACTCCTTTTTTTTTTTTTAAATCCATTCTTTGTTTGAGGGACATCTAGGTTGTTTCTAGTTTCTGGCTATTATGAATAAAAGCCCCCATGAACATAGTTGAGCAAGTGTCCTTGTTGTAGGATGAAGTGTCTTTTGGGTATATAACTAGGAGAGGTACAGCAGGGTCCTGAGGTAGATCAATTCCATTTTCTGAGGCAGTGCCATATTGATGGTATTTCCATAGTGGCTGTACAAGTTTGCACTCCCACCAGCAATGGAGGAGTGTTCTCCTGTCTCCACATCCTTACCAGCATGGGCTTTCACGTGTGTTATTGATCTTAGCCATTCTGATGCATGTAAGATAAACTCTCAAAGAAGTTTCGATTTGCATTTTTCCTGATGGCTAAAAAACAGACACATTGATCAATGGAATCAAATTAAAGAACCATACATAAATCTACACACTTATGGACACCTGCTTTTTTTTTTTTTTTCAATAAAGATGCCAGAAATACACAATGGAAAAAAGAAAGCATCTTCAACAAATGGTGCTGGTCTAACTGTATGTAGATGAATGCAAATACATCCATATTTATCACCCTATGCAAAACTCAAGTCCAAGAGGATCAAAGGCCTCAACATAAGACCAGATACACTGAACCTGATAGAAGAGAAAGTAGGAAATAGCCTTGAGCTGATTGGCACAGGAGACAACTTTCTGAACAGAACACCAACGGCTCAGGCACTAAGATCAACAGTTAGTAAGTAGGACCTCATAAAACTGAAAACCTTTCAGGCAGAGGACACAATCAACATAACTTGACCATATATCTGATACATAATTCAGAGTTTTCCTCTCTCTCTTTCTCTATCTCCCCAATAAGGACACACAGGACCCTTATCTTTGGTTGTTATTTTTTTTGGAGACTGTCTTGGGGATGATGTTCAACCTCCAAGTGTTGCATTTATAGGTCTGCACAACCGCGTTCAATCTAGTCAGTGTCAGGGATTAAATCCATGATAAACCCAGGGCTTTCATGGATGTTAGGCAAGCACTCTACCACTTGATCTACACCACAGCCCCTTGCTTCTCCTTTAAAGCTTTTTTCTTATGTGGACATAAAAATACTTCTCTTGAGACAACACCCCTGTCCTCTTTGTTGTTAGGCTTGTGGAAGAATACTATTTGTTGTTTTTCAGTTCACCTCATAGTCAAAGTTTGACTTATTATGACTGAATTTCTACCTCAAACCTTTGAAATCATTGAAATATAGAGTAAATGCTTCTCAGTACACTTAAATTTTTGTTCAGTATCTTGATGTTTCCAGCCTGGTACTAAAAGTGCTTTACTTTGGTTGGTGAAGTTATTGGACTTGATCCTGCTCTCACTGAACTGACCTTTGTGGACATTTGAGCAGTCTATTTAACATCTTAGTCCTCTTCCCTTAAAAGCTGGGCCAGGTTGGGCATGGTGGCGCACACCTTTAATCCTAGCACCCTGGAGGCAGAGACAGGTGAATCTCTGAGTTTGAGGCTAGCCTGGGCTCCAGTTCCAGCTCCAGGATAGCCAGGGCTACACAGAAACCTTGTCTTGAAAATAACCAAAACCAACCAACCAAACACAAAAGCTGGTTTAGGAACTAACCAACTTAAGGGCCAGATCTCAATGTTTGTCAGTAAGACCTTAGTTTCTTTAGGAGGTTTGTTAAAAGTGAAATTCATGGCCTCAGTCATTTGTCATGTAACAACAACAAAAAAGGTATTCGTAACCTTTAGCTAAGAAGGTATAGTTTGGAAGCACTTCACCTATTTCTGAAGAAGGTAGGGACTTAGTGGATTGTCAAAGTCATGGCCAACACTTCTTGACATTCTTGCTCAGACACGATTGTCTAGCCTTTGGCTTTGCAATGTAGCTGGAAAAAAAAAAGGCTGTGGCTCTTGATGAAGTGACACCATGTTAGACTCAGTTTTTAGTGATTTGTTATTAGTTTTTTGGGGAGAGGCCAGTTCAATCTACAGAAGGGAAAGCCAGCTACTTAATCTACACAAGAGGTAGGAAGGTGCCTCCAGTTGCTTGCAAAGTTGGGTGGGGGAAAGTCAGCGTCTGGAAAATGATTGCAGTATTAATGCACTGTAGAGTGATCAGGAGGGAGAGACACACACACGCTTGAGGACACACTGTACAACGGCCAGAAGAGGCACGATAAGGTAGGAGTTCAGAAAAGCAGATGCCTAAGTGGGATGGTGGGAAAAGGTACTGGCTTAGATGATTTGTGAAAGCTGGGCAAGGCACTGATTTCTCTTACCTTAGCAAGTTTCAGGAAGACACTTCTTTATGTTAGATATTGGGATGCAAAGGCATATGAAACATTACCCCTGCTTCCTAGGAGCTCCTGGGACTTTTTTGCTAGCACAAGTAGGAAATACTATTATTGTTATCTTGTTTCCTACTGTTGACACCTAAGGAAATACACTACACTCTCCCCTAGAGGAGGTCCAAGGGATAGGCAAGAGACAGGCTGAAGCAAACAATGCGTGAATGTGTGAACTATTTTTCAAACCACTACTCAAAAGGTTGTTAGTCCTCTGATATTCCGTCAGAGAATCTGTGGCTGGAGAAAAGTTTGAATATGGTTGTGTCTTATTCATTCTTGCTTTTTGGACACAGCTAGCCTGTGCCACTTGCTGCTTAACCAGGGCAAATATGTGCTTTAAACTGGAGAAGGAGGCTTCTAAGGAAGTGAAAACATGTATGTTACTATAGTGGTGGATATTTGTTGACGTCCACAATGTACCTTACCAAGACTGAATCTTAATGTCAATTATGGATTTTGATAATGTGCATCATTGGTCACCAGTTGTGACCAATGTCCCACTCCCTGCAAAATGCTGATAATGGGGGAGACTGTGTATGTGAGGGGGTGGGAGTTGGGGAAGGAAAATCTCCATGCATTAGACTCATTTTTCTTAGGAAACTTCACTGCTTAGAAAAATGAAGTGTGTATATATAAAACAAACAGATAACAAACGAAACCCTAAGCCAAACACCAAGTACAACCATAGACTGAACAATAAATGCACTAGTGTATTTAAGATTTTGGTTAAAAAAGTGGAAATGTAGCTAGTTGGTGGTGGTGCACGCCTTTAATCCCTCTTGGGAGGCAGAACAACAACTGTATCTCTGGGAGTTTTAGGCCAGCCTGGTGTACAGAGCTAGCTCCAGGTCAGCCAGGAAACCCTGTCTGGAAAACAAAACAAAACAAAAAACAAACAAACATACAAACCCAAAACAAAGCAAAACAAAAAAGAAAATGTGACCAAAAAATAAGAAACATCTGAAGAGGAAAGGGAGGGGCCTCATGATCTACCACAAATGCCAAAGATTTGCATGAGCATCACTGTGCCAGGAGATAGGTCGGGGGTGGGATTTGCTCCTTACAAGTGTCTGTTAATGTTCGCTCCCACTGATACCCTAACATGTAATTTTAGGGTGGAATAGACTGGGGAGTCTTTACAGTCTAGATGAACTCCACTTGAAGGACTGTTACCTTCCATCTCTGCACTTATCTCCTAACACAGTACCTTCCCCCACAAAGATGGGGTTGAGGTGGAAAGAAAGCAGATATGGCTGCCTGTGAGATTTCATTTGCGAGGACTGCTATGAGATCCAGTGCCTCTTGATTTGGAGCATATTAAATAACTGGACACTGGGGATCTTTCTTTCTTGGATTGTAAATGTTCTGGTGATTTTTTTTTTCTTTTTTAATTCTATCTTGAAACAGTTCTTGAAAATAGAGCTTCTCAGACTGTCACGGTGCCTATGATAAATGTGCAGATCACTCAATCACCTTCTAGAAATGCAGATTCTGATCCAGCAGGTCTGGCACAAGCCCTGGGTTCCTCTGTGCAGCCTGAGCTGTCCTGGAACTCACTCTGTAGACCAGGCTGGTCT